TAAAACAGAGTGACAGGGACTTGGCAGCTTGGCTGGGGACTTGGCCTTGCCCATTCTCCTGGCACTTTTTGCCTTTTCTTCATGCTCAGTCTCTGGGTTTCTGTGGTCACTGATTTCCCCCCTTTTCATCTGTTCTAGTCTGTGCTTTTTTTCTGTTCTGTCTGGGAACAGAGGGAGTAAAGGCTTTACCCATCCTCAAACTGAGATCAGGAAAGTTGATAAAGGGAAGGGTTTATTGAGAGACAGTGAAACTGGAGATTTATTACTGTGAGCTCCACTGTAACTCTCAATCCCACAGAGATTTAAATTGCCACTTGAAAGAGGGAAGGTCCTGGAGTGCCTTACCATTGCCATATGTCATTGCTACTCTCTTTTAGCTGATCACTTACTCATGGATATGGCTGAAATTGAAATAATTGTATATATCTGGAGTAATTCTTGATGCTGCAGTTTAATATGAATATACCAGCAGTGTAGCTTGATGTAAATTACACTGAGAGCAAGAAATTGGTGGTTTCGTGGCCTGATTCCACAGAAGAAATATTTGCTTGGTTCACAAGGTGTGTGCTTTTGGATATCCTTATTATTACATCCATGCTTCCCATTGTTTCTCATTTCATTTTCCATATCACAGAGCACAAGCCTCCAAGGCAGGAGCTTTTGGCAATCTAAGCCTGTTAGACAATTAGCACAAGTTACTTTCTCTGAATTTCTTTTTTAGCTTTACTGAAAAATGAAAATGTCAAACTGCTTTTCAAACCACAGGTGAACAACTTGGAGATTTGGGGAACTTCCCTTATACAAAGCACAGAACTTTATACAGTGAGACATTTTGACTTAAATTGTTTATAGTGACACGAGCTATAACCACTTTTACTTTTCTCCTCCATGAGAGTGAAGAACACAAACCATCAGACAGTCTTAATTACAAGGAGAGCCATCATTTCTGTGTGACACTTACACCCTGCCAGCAGGAGCAGCCTGTGTTTTGTGCTTGCCTCTCAGGAGAACAAAGGTTATCCTTTAACTGATAGAAACAAATCCCTTGAAGCAGATTTTATAATTATAAATCCGTCCCAGGTGCCCAGTCCACACATTCCCCATTCCCACTGCTGTGCCCCCAGCAGATCAGAAGTCAAGGCATCTTTTACAAGCTGTTACTTTTTCAAATGGGTGGAGGGTGGACAAAAAAAATCACAGACTGTATTGTATACTATGACCTGTATTGGTCAAAGGGAAATGAGTTTTTGTGTGCTTACATGGGTTATGTTCACTGTAGTTAAATCCTTGTTTGGGGTGTCAGGTTTCTGACAGGAAGTGCATTTTGAGGGTGTAAACATTGTGAGGGTTTTGATACTCATTTTTCTGTGAATGTGGGTTTTGGCTGGATCCGGGTGAAGAGGGTGGGAGCTGTGAAAGGCTTTTATTTGACGGTAGCACGGTGCTCAGACAGGAACATTCCTTCCCTGAGTGCCTGCTCAGGATAATTCCAGTGCCCAGCAGAGGGAGTGCAAACTGCATGCTCCACAATTTTCTCTGTGCCACCTTGATCCAGAGCCAGCCATCTGCTCAGTCTGTGTTTCCAGGTAAACTTACTATGACAGCAACACCAGAGAGATTTCAAGTTAATTGGTGACTCTATGAATTATTGTAAAAGTGCAGTTGTAATTATTGCCTTAGATTGGTGTTTAAATGGACGCTACTGTTTCCAGACTTTCTTTTGCAAGAATAACTTATGATCAAATTGTTCTTAAATTATTTTTTTTTTTGCTGGTTAGAAATAGATTTGTTTCTCAATGTCTTCTTCCTTTTCTTATAGTACTTGAATTTAATTTTTCTTGTTTAATGTCTGATTTGCTGCTGATTAGATGCAAATGATCTTGCAGTTTTAGAGAGGATGAGTATGTTCTGTATTTTAAAACATGCACGCCACCTTTCACTTACATGCTCTCCATAAAGAATTACCCACTAGGGTAATACTTGACATCCTGACATTGTTAATAGAAATGTAGCTCATTAGCTGGATTTGTACACTCTAAGTATGCTTATGTTTTATGTGATTACTTTGGGAAGCTGTGGAAGGTTTAGTACTGAGGCTGCCTAAAACTTAGGCAGAGATGATGTGAGAAACATCCCATTCACGTGCCTGTCAGCAGAGGGATCATTTAACAGACCTGGTACACTTTGAATTTTAAATTTCAGGTTACATTAACTGCCAGGAATATATAGTTTTTCATTAACTATATTCATTACTTTTTGTTTCACCTTTCCTTATCTTCTGTCAAATCT